TATGAGCGAGGCGGCGGGCAGCAAGAGCATCGGAGAAGAGCCGGCGCAGCTGAGTGGGGTCGCGGTGGGGCATCACAGCACGGCTCATGGCGTGCCAGTCCAGCTTCCACGCATTCAGCGCCTGATGTGAGGGTGGATGGATGAGATGAGGATTGGGAAGATGGGCAAGGAATTACAAGCAGGAGGGAATGAGAGCTGGGAAGGGTCGCGATGGGGCATCACCGCGCGGCTCATGGCATGCCAGTCCAGCTTCCACGCGTTCAGCGCCTGAGCGGATGGGATGAGATGAGGGGGATGGGGGAGGGGATACACGCGGGGGGCATGACAGCTGGGAGGGGTCGCGGTGGGGCATCACAGCGCGGCTCATGGCGTGCAAGTCCAGCTTCCAAGCGTTCAGCGCCTGCATGGGATGAGATGGGGGGATGGGGGAGATGGGGAAGGGAGGGATGGGGGATGGGGGTAATAGGGACGGGGATGCATGCAGGAGGGATGAGAGCTGGGTAGGGTTGTGGTGGTGCATCACAGCACGGGATGGGATGAGATGGGGGAAAATGGGGGAAAGTGGATACATGCAGGAGGGAGAGAGCTGGGTGGGGTCGCATTTGAGCTTGGCTGATTCCTTTTTCAATGGCATGATTTGAGCTGGGTGGGGTCGCATTGGGGTTGCTGATGCCTATTTATTTCTCCCAATGGCATGATTTGAGCTGGGTGGGGTCGCATTGGGGTTGCTGATGCCTATTTATTTCTCCCAATGGCATGATTTGAGCTGGGTGGGGTCGCATTGGGGTTGCTGATGCCTATTTATTTCTCCCAATGGCATGATTTGAGCTGGGTGGGGTCGCATTGGGGTTGCTGATGCCTATTTATTTCTCCCAATGGCATGATCTGAGCTGGGTGGGGTCGCATTGGGGTTGCTGATGCCTATTTATTTCTCCCAATGGCATGATTTGAGCTGGGTGGGGTCGCATTGGGGTTGCTGATGCCTATTTATTTCTCCCAATGGCATGATTTGAGCTGGGTGGGGTCGCATTGGGGTTGCTGATGCCTATTTATTTCTCCCAATGGCATGATTTGAACTGGGTGGGGTCGCATTGGGGTTGCTGATGCCTATTTATTTCTCCCAATGGCATGATTTGAGCTGGGTGGGGTCGCATTGGGGTTGCTGATGCCTATTTATTTCTCCCAATGGCATGATTTGAACTGGGTGGGGTCGCATTGGGGTTGCTGATGCCTATTTATTTCTCCCAATGCCATGATTTGAACTGGGTGGGGTCGCATTGGGGTTGCTGATGCCTATTTATTTCTCCCAATGCCATGATTTGAACTGGGTGGGGTCGCATTGGGGTTGCTGATGCCAATTTATTTCTCCCAATGCCATGATTTGAACTGGGTGGGGTCGCATTAGGGTTGCTGATGCCTATTTATTTCTCCCAATGCCATGATTTGAACTGGGTGGGGTCGGATTGGGGTTGCTGATGCTTATTTATTTCTCCCAATGGCATGATTTGAACTGGGTGGGGTCGCATTGGGGATGCTGATGCCTTTTTATTTCTCCTAATGGCATGATTTGAACTGGGTGGGGTCGCATTGGGGTTGCTGATGCCTATTTATTTCTCCCAATGCCATGATTTGAACTGGGTGGGGTCGCATTGGGGTTGCTGATGCCTATTTATTTCTCCCAATGCCATGATTTGAACTGGGTGGGGTCGCATTGGGGTTGCTGATGCCTATTTATTTCTCCCAATGGCATGATTTGAACTGGGTGGGGTCGCATTGGGGTTGCTGATGCCTATTTATTTCTCCCAATGGCATGATTTGAGCTGGGTGGGGTCGCATTGGGGTTGCTGATGTCAACGGGAGTTGTATGTTGGCCCCGTCCTCGCTTGGGCGGAGCCGAATTCGTGGTCGGGTGTAGGGTGCAGCCGACCTGCAGCAGTGGGCGAGTTGGTCGACGAGGTTGGTCGACCTACACGGGGAGCCACTGCATGGGCGCCGACTTCGGGAGGGCGCCAACTTCGGGTGGTCGACCTGGGAAGTCGACCAGACCTTCTGGTCGACCTAGTAAGTCGACCAGAGCTTCTGGTCGACCTGGTAAGTCGACCAGCCCTTCTGGTCGACCTGGGAAGTCGACCAGACCTTCTGGTCGACCTGGTAAGTCGACCAGCCCTTCTGGTCGACCTGGGAAGTCGACCAGACCTTCTGGTCGACCTGGTAAGTCGACCAGACCTTCTGGTCGACCTGGGAAGTCGACCAGACCTTCTGGTCGACCTGGTAAGTCGACCAGACCTTCTGGTCGACCTGGTAAGTCGACCAGCCCTTCTGGTCGACCTGGGAAGTCGACCAGACCTTCTGGTCGACCTGGTAAGTCGACCAGCCCTTCTGGTCGACCTGGGAAGTCGACCAGACCTTCTGGTCGACCTGGTAAGTCGACCAGCCCTTCTGGTCGACCTGGGAAGTCGACCAGACCTTCTGGTCGACCTGGAGTGACGTCGACTTGGAGCTGGTCGACCAGGGGGTAGTGGTCGACCTGGGGAGGTCGACCGGAAGTGGTCGTCGACCTGGGTGGTCGACGGGCACGCACAGGAGCCTCTGGTCGACCTGGTTGCTCGGTCGACCAGGTTACCTGGGTGACGAGGTTCTGCGGAGGCATGCGACGTTCGCCCAGGTGGTTTTGGCGAGGACGACCTCGGTGATGGTATCCCGAGGTCGACGTGGTGCATCAGAAGCAGTCGTCAGCACGAAGTTGATGTGGTGTGTGCGCTGTGCAGGTGACGAGGCACTGCACGCCAATCATCTGCGAACACCTGCGAAGTAGGTGCGCTGCTGTCCTGCGGGAGCAACGTTGGCGCGCCGTCAACCTGCGACGTTGGCACGCCGTCGACCTGCAGTGTTGGCAAGCCGCGACTCTGCACTGCTGGAGCGCGGTCGACCAAGTCATGCTGGCACGCGGTCGATCGTGCTGCGCTGGCAGTCGACCTGTTTGCATCCTAGCTCTGATGTAGTCTTGCCTTGCCAACTTCATTGTATCATTGTTGTCAACTTTCTCTAGTGAAGCTCTTGCCAATTCTCCCTGTGAACTAGCAAGCTGTGTGTGCACTAGGAAAACGACTAAGGAACAAGGAACGCAGAGATCACACGAGCACCCGTGCCTATCCCGTAGTCTAGCTCCCGTTGTAGTAGTTATCTCCGCAGCTGATGCCTATTTATTTCTCCCAATGGCATGATTTGAGCTGGGTGGGGTCGCATTGGGGTTGCTGATGCCTATTTATTTCTCCCAATGGCATGATTTGAGCTGGGTGGGGTCGCATTGGGGTCGCTGATGCCTATTTATTTCTCCTAATGGCATGATTTGAGCTAGGTGGGGTCGCATTGGGGTTGCTGATGCCTATTTATTTCTCCCAATGGCATGATTTGAGCTGGGTGGGGTCGCATTGGGGTTGCTGATGCCTATTTATTTCTCCCAATGGCATGATCTGAGCTGGGTGGGGTCGCATTGGGGTTGCTGATGCCTATTTATTTCTCCCAATGGCATGATTTGAGCTGGGTGGGGTCGCATTGGGGTTGCTGATGCCTATTTATTTCTCCCAATGGCATGATTTGAGCTGGGTGGGGTCGCATTGGGGTTGCTGATGCCTATTTATTTCTCCCAATATCATGATTTGAGCTGGGTGGGGTCGCATTGGGGTTGCTGATGCTTATTTATTTCTCCCAATGGCATGATTTGAGCTGGGTGGGGTCGCATTGGGGTTGCTGATGCCTATTTATTTCTCCCAATGGCATGCTTTGAGCTGGGTGGGGTCGCATTGGGGTTGCTGATGCCTATTTATTTCTCCCAATGGCATGATTTGAGCTAGGTGGGGTCGCATTGGGGTTGCCGATGCCTATTTATTTCTCCCAATGGCATGATTTGAACTGGGTGGGGTCGCATTGGGGTTGCTGATGCCTATTTATTTCTCCCAATGGCATGCTTTGAGCTGGGTGGGGTCGCATTAGGGTTGCTGATGCCTATTTATTTCTCCCAATGGCATGATTTGAGCTAGGTGGGGTCGCATTGGGGTTGCCGATGCCTATTTATTTCTCCCAATGGCACGATTTGAGCTGGGTGGGGTCGCATTGGGGTTGCTAATGCCTATTTATTTCTCCCAATGGCATGATTTGAACTGGGTGGGGTCGCATTGGGGTTGCTGATGCCTATTTATTTCTCCCAATGGCATGATTTGAGCTGGGTGGGGTCGCATTGGGGTTGCTGATGCCTATTTATTTCTCCCAATGGCATGATTTGAACTGGGTGGGGTCGCATTGGGGTTGCTGATGCCTATTTATTTCTCCCAATGCCATGATTTGAGCTGGGTGGGGTCGCATTGGGGTTGCTGATGCCTATTTATTTCTCCCAATGGCATGATTTGAACTGGGTGGGGTCGCATTGGGGTTGCTGATGCCTATTTATTTCTCCCGATGGCATGATTTGAGCTGGGTGGGGTCGCATTGGGGTTGCTGATGCCTATTTATTTCTCCCAATGGCATGATTTGAACTGGGTGGGGTCGCATTGGGGTTGCTGATGCCTATTTATTTCTCCCAATTCCATGATTTGAGCTGGGTGGGGTTGCATTGGGGTTGCTGATGCCTATTTATTTCTCCCAATGGCATGATGGTGAAAGAGCACAGAGGGGACAAGGGCAGTGTTGTGGATCCGAGGTAAATGGCGATGCTATGTGATGATGGCGTCGTGATGGTGTCGTGATGGCGTCGTGATGGTGTCGTGATGGTGTCGTGATGGTGTCGTGATGGTGTCGTGATGGTGTTGCGATAGTGCCACGATGGTGCCATGATGGTGACATGGTGGTGACATGGTGGTGACATGGTGGTGACATGGTGGTGACATGGTGGTGACATGGTGGTGACATGGTGGTGACATGATGGTGACATGATGGTGCTCTGATGGTGGCATGTTGATGCCATGATGCCATGATGGTGCCATTCATGCGCTATCCCCACGCACCGTTTGTATTTGGTTGACCTCGTGGTCAGTCAAGGGAGCAGTCTTGCGCCGCCACACTTGCTGCAGTAGCGGCGCACACGCAGACAAAGGTGGGTGGAACAGACGAAAAGGCACTTGCTGGAGGATGTATGCATGAAAGCGAATAAATTGATTGCTGTTTGGGCAACTTCACACCAACCCACCCACCACACTCATGATCTGCACGGATGCAACTTAGCTGCCTTGCCTGCCTGCCTGCCTGCCTGCCTCCCTGACTTACCTCGCCGGGGCTTACAACGCATGTGCCTACACGACTCTGCATGCGCGTCTGTGCGCCTGTGCGTGCGTGCGTGCGAGCGCACCTTGATGGGGTTATCGGGCACGCGTGAGGAGCACCGATTCTTCCAGCGGATGGAGATCTGACGGTCAGGAGAGGGGGGAGGGGAGATACAAGGTCTGTGCGTGCGCATGCGGGTCTCTGTGCATGTGAGGGGGGAAGGGGAGCACCAGTTCTTCCACCAAATGGAGATCTGACGGCATGGAGGAGGGAGGGGAGGTACAAGGTTGTGCAGCCAAAAAAAGGGCATCAGGATTTGAAGAGAACGAGAGGGGAGAAGGAATGGATATATCAACACAGGCTAGAGTAGGACAGGGGCAGGGGCAGACAGGCAAGTGCGTTTTGTGTGCATCACCCACTGTTGCATATCCACGACAGGGCGTCGTATGGTGCATGGAGCTTCTCCACATGTTCCTACTCTGACCTCGCCACTCTAAAGGCTCATTAACTCACCGAACCAGGTCGACACAATGTGGCATCGCTCTCAACGCACGGCCCACACCCAAGAGCCCCCACTGCCCCACCACCACCCACCGCTTACACCCGACCTGGTGCTTCGTGAGGCCCCAACGCTCACCACACCCCCACCGCCCACCTCACCCCAACCCAACCCCCACGACCCACCTGGTGCGGAGCCTGTGGATGGCGTCCCAGTCCGTGCTCAGCTGATTCACGCCCAAGGCCAACAGATTGGTGGGCGAGGGACATGGGGATGCGCGGGAAGCACGCGCACCCCCACCGCCCACCACTCCCCACTCCCCACGGCCCACCCACCTGGTGCGGAGTCTTGCCCGGCAGGAAGCGCCTGTGGATGGCCTCCCAGTCCGTGCTCAACTGCTCCACGCCCATGGCCAGCAGACTGGTAGGCGGGGGGCATGGGGATGTGCGGGAGGCGAGAGGGTGGCGGGTCGAAGGGAGGAATGGTTGCTGCTGATATGCAGCATGACCCATGGGTATTCAGATGTATGATGTATGCATGCAAGCACCTGTCGTAAGCACATGACCGCATGCCACGTGAAATTGAGGAACCGCTCATAATAAACACACCCACTCAAGAACCTACATCCAGCCATCATATGCATACATCCATGCGCCCATGCCCCCAACTACCCACCCACCCACCCACACAGCCACGCACCAGTCCTCAGCGGGGGAGAAGATGGTGCGGTGCAGCAGGGGCGGGCGCACCACAGGGAAGAGCGAGGCGTCAAACACGGCAGCCAGCGGCTGCAGGGCTGCCGCCACCTCGCCAGGAACCCGCACTACTTCGCCCACCCCTGCCCTCTGCCCCTTCTCCCTCTGCTCCTCCCCTCCCCTTACTGCCGCTGCCTCTACCTCCCCCCCTCTGTCTTCCTCCTCATTACCTTCCTCCTCTACCCTTTCCTCTTCTTCCCCCTTTTGCTTGCTCTCCTTCGCCCCTCGGGGTCCAGAAGCAAGGGCTTGGGTGGGTTGTATCCGAGGGGCCTTGTGGGGAGAGGCAATGCGGGAGGGAACGAGGGGTTGGAGGGCGGAAGGCAGTGCCACTGAGAACATGGGCACCCACTTGCGCTTCCTCTTCCTCACTCTCCCTCCCACCTGCTGCTGCTGCTGCTGCTGCTGCTGCTGCTGCTGCTGCTGATGTTGATATGTATCAGCAGCAGGACACTCTTTTGAGACTTGATCTTGTCCCTGCTGCTGCTGTATCTGCTGCTGCTGCTGCCGTGGCTGCTCGTTCTCTTGTTCCTGCTGCTGATGCTGCTCTTGCTGCTGCCGCGTCTGCTCGTCCTGCCCTTCCTGCTGCTGCTGCTGCTGCTGCGATGTCTGCTCGACCTGCTGCTTACCCACCACGTCTCTCAGAGAAAGGCCTCGACTACCCTCGTCATCTCGCTGCCGCTGCACAGCACCATCACTATCACCACCCACTGCATCTCGCTGCCGCCGCACCTCCCTTTTGCCACCCTCTGGTTCTGCCCTTTTTGTCCTCTCCCCATCTCCCCCCTCCCCCCTCTCGTTTGACGTGCCCTGTGCCTCCATTCGATCATCAGCCTCTCTCTCTTCCCTCACCTCCCCCACCTCCCCCACCTCTTGCAACTCTTTCCCACCACTCCCCCTTTCTCCACTCCCTTTTGCCGTCGGCTCTGCTCCTGCACCTCTACCATTTCCCACGGCATCCCCACTCCCCCCTCTCCTTAACAGCTCCTCAACAACTCCTTCCCCGTGCATCTCCTCTCCCCCATCCCCACCACCGATTCTTTCACCATGCCCCCCACTACCACATGCCCTGCACCTCTCAAAATCACTCCCTCGTCTGTCAGATGCAAGTACGTCTGGACTGGCACTGAGTGCCGCAGACGAAGATGGGATAGCACCACCACTGCCTGCTGTCGCTCTTTGTGATTCGTCCACTTGTGCTGCTGCTGCTGCTGCAGCTGCTGTTGCTTGTGGCGTCTCGGCGGCTGCTGTTCGTTCTGCTGATAATAATGGTGACTGCACTGCTGGTTCTGCCGCTGTTGCTGCTGCTGCCGGTGCTGCTGCTGCTGCTGCTGCTGTTGCTGCTGCTGCCGCTGCTGCTGCTGCTGCAGCTGCTGCTGCTGGCGGTGCTTCTGCTTCAGCTGCTGCTGCTGTTGCTGTTGCTGTTGCTGCAGGCGGGTGCGTGTCAGCTGCCACAGCGGCAGCACATGTCATCGGCGGGTCTATAGATTGCTCCTGGAGAACTGCACGGGAGAGACATACGAGGCAGACTCAAGGGTCAGACACAGAGAGCACCAACAGCGCACAGCAAGCGCAGCACAAGCCGCCTTTCACACACTAGAAAATCCCCCTACTTATCCACCCGCACCCACAACCCTTCCCCGTCCTTGCCTCCACTGCCCTCCCAGCCACAGCACTGCGCCCTTGTTTCAATACCTTTGTCGATGGAGAGCAGAAACGAAGGAAGAAGCGCCAGGCTGGGAATCGCTTCTGCCAGGCGCGATGCTGGCCTTGCAGCCTCCACCCCGCCAGCAGGAGCAGCAGCGGCAGCAGCAGCAGCAGCAGTATGGGCCACGGCAGCAGCAGAGCCCGGAGATTCCGGGCACAGCACAGGAGATGAGATAGGAGGGCGAGGAAGGGGAGGAGTGGGAGGAGAGCACAAGGGCTGCAAGGGAGGCGGGGGAAATGAGGGTGAGGTGTCAACCCCTGGTGCATCAGCAGCTGATACACTGGTCGACACTCCTCTCGCATTCCCTGACCCAATGCCACTTATTCCAGCAGTAGCACCTCCCCCAGTACAGCCTCCCCCAGTACCACCTCGCCCAGTAGCACCTCCCCCAGAAGAACCTCCCCCCCACTGCGCCAGCTGTGCCAGCAAGCCCCGGAGCACCGTCGCCACCTGGCAGCGAGAGGGGTCCAGCACACACGCCGCGTACACCTGCACTGCCAGCTGGACGTGACACGCCAGCAGCGCCGCCAGCTGGGCGCGCTGATGTGGCGCGAACGCGGGGGGGATGGGGACAGGAGAGAGGCATGCAACGGGGCGAATAGGGAAGGGGTATGTGCCGTGTGCGGGCAGGGGAAGTGGCACAAAGGAGCGCGCAGTGGGGAGCGGGGCAATGGGGAGTAGGCGCGGGGGGGGCATTGGCGCAGCAGCATGAGCAGCAGGAATAGCAGCGGCTGCTGCCACAGCCGCAGGAGCAGCAGGAGCAACAGCAGCAGCCGCTTTTCTAGTGTGTGCAGCAGTAGTAGCAGCGCCCTCTGACCCCACACCACCACCAGCACCAGCAGCAGCAGCGGCGGCTCTTCCTGAGCGGCCCTTCCTGCCCACCGCCCTGGGCCCTGCTGCTGCCGCGGAGCCTCTGCGCCTGCTCTGCCCTGCGCTGCCCGCCCTGCCACTCGCCATGCCTGGGCTGCCTGATGGGGATGATAGGGACAACCCACCATCCGCTGCCACACCTGGATGAGCAGCGGCAGGAGGCGCACCCTCACTGCCACCTCCTGCTCCTGCACTGTCGCCTGTGCACACTGCCGTCTCTTCCCCCGGCCCCCCTCCACCCCCCATCGCCACACCCCCTTCTTTCACTGCCTCGTATTTCCCCTTCTTCGCCCTCCGCCTCCTCTTGGATCCTCCTCCCTCCACCTCCCCCTCCCCTTCCCCCTCTCCCTTCCTGTCCTTCCTCCCCGCCTCCCTCCCCTTGCCTCTTCTCCTCGACACCCCTGCAGTGGTCCGCTTTGACCTCCGCACCCTCACTCCCACCCCCTCGCTGGCCATGTCCCCCTCCCCTCCCCTTTCCCGCTCATCAGCTGGCTCGTGCGCGTTAATCTCGGGGACGGAGGGAGGAGCAGGGGACTTCTGGCGGACCCGAGGAGTCGGGGCCTCATGCCCACCTTCTGCTGCTTCATGTGCCCCCTCCCCTCCCCCCTCTTCCTTCCCCCTACCTCCTCTTTCCCACCCCTTCCATCCCTTTTCCCCCTCCCCATCCTGCAAGCCACCCCAATCTCCGCCCCTGGGCCCCCAATAGCTCCCCTCTCCCTCTCCAGGGCTGGACTTGCGCCTCTTACTCCTCCCCCTCCCCTCTCCCGCACTCCCCGCCTCCCCCTCCCTCTCCTCCTCGTCCGCCTCCTCTGCCCTCACACCTGCCTCCGCAGCAGCCTCTGCCTCCGCCTGGGCCTGCATCTCCGCTATAAGCTCATCCTCCAGCCCCGCTAGAAGCCCCCCGTCCAGATCATCCTCATCCACCACGAAGTCCTGCAGATCCAGCAGCTCATCCTCACCGTCCATCAGCAGATCATCGCCCTCCAGCAGCAGCAGATCGTCGATGTTGAAGTCCATATCCTCCTCGTCCTCCTCATCCTCCGCCTCCCCTTTGTCCCGCCCTTCGTCATCCCCCTCCCCTTCCCTCGCTTCCTCTCCCTCTTCCTCCCCTCCTCCTTCCTTCTCCCACTTCCCCTCATCCCCTCCATCGACACCTTCCTCTGTCTCCTCCCCCCTTCCCATGCTATCCCCTGCTTCTCCTCCCGTCCTCACCTCATCCCCTTCCCCCTCCTCTCCACTCTCCCTGCTTCCCTCCACCCCCCTCTTTTCCCCCTCCTCCCCTTCCCTCTCCCCATCCCCCCCCTCCCCCTCCTCCCCTTCCCCCTCCCCGTCACCCTCCCCCTCCTCCCCTTCCCCCTCCCCGTCACCCTCCCCCTCCTCCCCCTCGTGGTCACTAGCGCAAGGGGAGTCGGGGAACAGCACGGCGGAGAGGAATCGCTCGTACTCCTCCTCCTCCTCCTCCGCGTGGAACAGAAACTCCTCCTCCTCATCCTCCTCCTCCTCCGCGTCTCGCGCCACGCGCGCCAGCATCACCTCGAGCTCTTCTATCGGGGTCTGCGCCAGCGACACTCGCGCGCGCGTGCGATAACCGATCGTTCCGTCGGTGTCATTCTCGTCGCACGATCGCTGCTCGTCTCGCTGCTCGTCGCGCTGCTCGTCCCCTGCTACCACGTCCGCTCCATCCCTCGCGTTCATCTCAACATCGCTCGCTTCAGCGTCGTGTGCTTCTAAACAGCGCGCGTCAGTAGCGCGCGCGTCTACAGTGTCCGCCGCTTCTATATCGTGCGGCGGCGAACTGCGCAAGCCAGAACCGCGCGCGCAACTCCCGTCCGCCTGTGGGCCGTCTGCCACGTCCAGCCTTCCGTCCTGCTCGGCTGCCTCCGCCATCTCAGCTAAGTGTCTCTCCACCTCTGCCTCTTTGCTCACGTTATCTTCCGCCATCCGCGTCGTCGTGTATCGAGCCGTCCTGCAACGAGTTGTTTAACGGCTCCACAACCAGCAGCTTCACTGAACGTCGTTCTTAAGAACGGTCGCTTGAGCATCTGTACCGCCAGCAGCCGGAGTTCCTTCCTGCTGCATCAACAGGCTTTCGAACTTGCATCGCGGTAGACTGATTACAACCCCTATTGCCTTCGCAATCCCGAGCCATACTGAAATACTAAAGAACCTGCACGGACCGCGTAAAGTCAATTCCGAAGCGTCCCAACCACACGTGTCGTCGGCTGGCGGATTTTGTCTGCATATGCTTGCGATCATTATGCTGGGCTGCTCCTTGGTATTGCCTTGGTAGCGAGGTATCTTGCACTGGGGCTGTTCGCCAGCACCATTATAGCAAAAAACCACGGGCTGTCAGATGTATCATGGTTGAGAAACCGTCTGGAAGTTGGATGGGAGGAGGAACAAGACGAGGCAGTGGGATGTGTGCGATCAGGTGATCGCATGGTGGCAGGGAGTTGTGCGGCTGACTGGCGATTGGTGGAGAAGATCCCGATGGTGCTGCTGGTGAAATTGAGGAAATGAAGTGCACAAATCTCGATCGTGTCGAGGCGTTCGATGCAGTTTCAGGTAAACTATAGAGGTTTTTTAGTCGGTGATTTACGGTTCGGCGTCTTTCAGGCTGGTAACCTGTCAAAATGAACTTTGGAGCGTCCTGACCTCATGAATTCTCTCCACGGAAGGCAGTTCAAACCGCAAGCTGGATCAAGAAACGAAACGAGCTTGTACGGGGCCCTGTATTCGCAGAACATGCTGTGACTCAAAACGCCATGCAACCGAATGTAGCAGTGCTACCTTCGCATGTGTAAACAAGTCCTCCACTCTACAGCTCTTTGATCCCACATCTATCCGTTGATACTCCCATTTCCTGCTGCCATTCTGCGATTTGAATTTCAAAAGCGTACCCTACCCCATTCACAGTCCGCGAGTGGTCCTCGTGGCCCGACTCCTTCAGCGTTTACAAAGCGAAGTAGCTTCGTCCAGTACGCGTGCTTAGCACAGCATCATCTTGGTTCTGCCCCGTTTCACTCTACTCGTTCTTGTGAGGAATGGAGGCAGGTAACTCGACACCCCTAAACGACGTGCCGTGCCAGGAACCAGAGGAACGGGCGGATGTGGATGCACGTGCTCGCATGGACGAACGCGCTGAAGCTGCTGACGTGGACGGGATGGCTGAGAACGTGGCTTTGATCGATGAGAGTATGGCTGACGCCTATCTGGACGATAATGACCATCTCGACGACGCGAGCGACGACGATGGCGATGACGGCGATTCGGATTTGTCAGCAGACGACGTTGGCGATGCGGACGACGTTGGCGAAGAGGCAGGCGACATAGAGGGTGGAGGGGGCGCCGTGGAGGGAGGGGGGCAGCCGATCGAGAGACGGGGAGGTACGGCGGAGGAGGAGAAGGAAGAAGAAGCGGCGGAGGAACAAGAAGAGGAGGAGGAGGATGAGGATGAGGCGGAAGGCGAGGAACTGGATGAGGAACATCGCGGTAGGGTTGCTGACGACGATGATATGAGCGTTCACTCGGAGGAGGAAGAGGAGGAAGGGGAGGAGGCGGGCGGGGAGGAGGCGGAGGGGGAGGGGGAGGGGGTAGGCGCGCGTGGGGGGGATGGAGAAGCTCCGAGTCAAGGAGACGGGGGGACAGGCGGCGATGGCGCCGAGAGGGCGGGCGGACTGGACGTGCGGACGGGCGGAGGAGTGGCGGATGGGGGGAGGCGAGAGGCAGGAGGTGAAGATGCGGAGGTAGAAGGAGAAGGGAGGAGAGGAGCGCGACCAGGCGGGCGTGTGGAGGAGGAGAAGGAAGCGACGGAAAGCGGTGAGCAATCAGAGGCGGCAGGAGCGAAGGGCGGAACGGAGAGAGGAGAGGTTCCTGTAGCAGCGGAAGCACATGGGACCGCAGCCGCGCCTGCAGAAGGAGAGACACAAGAAGCACGAGAGGGTGGTTCTGCGGGAGAGGTGCCCTCAGCAGGGGACGCTGGCATAGCGGAGCAAAGGGCGCCCTCAGCAAAGGACGCGCCCGTAGCAGCCGCAATGGATCCCTCACCAGGGGAAGCAGCTGTAGCGGCAGAGGTGCCAGTGGCGTATGTGAAGCGCATGATGCGCCTGGATGGCGAGGTGCGGCAAGTTTCGTCCGATGCCGCCCAGCTGGTGGCCTCCGCCGCCCACCTCTTCCTCGACAGCCTCGCTGCTGCCGCCTTGACCCGCACTCGCTCCGCACGCCGCCTGACCATCACCCAGGCTGACGTGGCAGCTGCTGTGCGCTCATCAGACAAGATCAGGTGAGGGTGAGGGGGGGGGAGGGGAGGTCGAGAGGAGGGCGAGAGGAGGGTGAGGAGAGGTTGAGAGCAGGGCGATGGGAGGGCGAGAGGAGGGTGAGGAGAGGTTCAGAGCAGGGCAAGGTGAGGGTGAGAGGAGTCCTTGGCCAATCCAGGACATGTTATCTTCCTTTGATGGAGATGCTTGTGTGAGTCTGTGCTTTTCCGTCCATGCGCATACAGTTTCTCCTGTGTTTCGGTCAGTACATTCATGAGCCTATCCTTACTCTTGCCACCGTGCTCATTTCGCAGCGAGTTCATTGGCTCATCCATATCCTGGCTTCGCCACGTCAGCAACGGTCCAGCTCGTGCTGACGCAGCACGGGGGCTGGGGAGAGTGGGCGCGGAGGGGTCGAGGAAACGAGTGAGGGCGGAGGCAGCTGCACCAGCAGCAGTGCGGGACAGGAAGGCACGATTCATCACTGCCTTCTTCCTCAAATCGTAGCTGTCTTTTTGTGTTGACTCGAGAGTCAGGGCCAGCAGCGTCAGCGCCCGTGCGGGACAGGAAGGCGCGATTCATCACCGCCTTCTTCCTCCTAAACCCTGAGCCCATAACCCCCTGCAGCCGCTATGTGGTTCTTGCCGCCACATCATAACCTCATTGTGGTGCCCACACCATCTTCCTCTGCTTCTCTGGAACCTCCGTAAGGCGGCAGGTGCACTGCACCGCCTGCACTGCCTGCAGCACCTGCACTGCCTGCACCGCCCTGCATTTTCTGCAGTACCTGCACTGCCTGCACCGCCCTGCATTTTCTGCAGTACCTGCACTGCCTGCACCGCCCTGCATTTTCTGCAGTACCTGCACTGCCTGCACCGCCCTGCATTTTCTGCAGTACCTGCACTGCCTGCACCGCCCTGCATTTTCTGCAGTACCTGCACTGCCTGCACTGCCTCCACTGCCTGCACTGCCTGCACTGCCTCCACTGCCTCCACTGCCTGCACTGCCTCCACTGCCTCCACTGCCTCCACTGCCTCCACTGCCTGCACTGCCTCCACTGCCTGCACTGCCTCCACTGCCTGCACTGCCTCCACTGCCTGCACTGCCTGCACTGCCTCCACTGCCTGCACTGCCTCCACTGCCTCCACTGCCTCCACTGCCTCCACTGCCTCCACTGCCTCCACTGCCTGCACTGCCTCCACTGCCTCCACTGCCTCCACTGCCTCCACTGTCTCCACTGCCTGCACTGCCTCCACTGCCTCCACTGCCTCCACTGCCTCCACTGCCTCCACTGCCTCCACTGCCTGCACTGCCTCCACTGCCTGCACTGCCTCCACTGCCTGCACTGCCTCCACTGCCTGCACTGCCTGCACTGCCTCCACTGCCTGCACTGCCTCCACTGCCTCCACTGCCTCCACTGCCTCCACTGCCTCCACTGCCTGCACTGCCTCCACTGCCTCCACTGCCTCCACTGCCTCCAATGCCTCCACTGCCTCCACTGCCTGCACTGCCTCCACTGCCTCCACTGCCTCCACTGCCTCCACTGCCTCCACTGCCTGCACTGCCTCCACTGCCTCCACTGCCTGCACTGCCTCCACTGCCTGCAGCACCTGCGCTGCCTGGTTTGGCTTTTGAGGGCACGAGTGGCATCTCGGGGCCACTCATTCATGCCCCGTCAGCATTGCAGGGGTCTGTTGCTGCGCTGAGGATTGCCAAACAGGGTACTGAGAGGTTGCTGTTTTCATAAACCATTGTGAGTCCAACACTGTACTGTGGAGTGGAAGGCGTTTCAATAAGCGACTCATGGTAGTCCAGTCCAACAATGTGTTCTCACAAGCACCTTACGGTATCATTTCAAGAGTGTACTGAGAATGACGTTCTTTATAACCGCCCTTAAAGTCCATGCAGTGTATTGTACAGTGTCAATCACCATGAATGGTGTATCGGTCCCACTTCTTTGTCGGATCGTATATCTGCCAGACAATGGAAACGCAGCGAGGAAGAACAGCATGAGGTGCGACTGGGGTGAAGCAGGCGAAATGTGGCGCAGAGTTACGGAGAGGAGGACGCCACGGCAGGCTACAGTCAAGAGAGGTGCCGCAGCAGGTAGAGCAGGCAAAGAGGTTCGGCAGGAGCAGCAACAGAAACAGAATCATAGAGAGGGGGGAGAGGGAGGTGTGGAGAGGCTGACCTCCCATCGCGAGGCGGGGAAGATGTGCTTGTTCTTGTCGTACCAGTGGCGCTCCACCACCTTTCCCGCATGTGACTGCAGGGAGGGGGGTGTGAGAATCCCATAGTTGGGATGAAGGGGTGAACTCAAGAGTTGGTATATTGATAAAGAAGAGCAGTACAAATAGGGAATGGGAAAAATGATCAAAATCAGAGCTACCCCACACCATTATTGGCAGACCAATGTGGTGAGGATCCAGCCCAATAATTGAGGTTGAGTCAATTATTGGAGGGGCCAAACATTGAGGAGGGTTGGCCACCAATGTTGGCTCCCCAACAATAATGGCCGCTTGGGTTGTGGGAACCCAACCAAAAGTTGGGACACCACCTCAATGTGTACACCCATGATTTGGGTGTACACTATTAGTTCTAGCCATATACATGCTATATTCTAACACAACCCCTTAGCATGAGAATGGCTAGACCAAACAACCCCTGAAGCGAGGACCCGGTAATAGATGTGGCGGATGACGCGGCATGCCAGCCGAAGAGAGGGGGGCGACTGTTGAGAAGGCAGCCCAACAGCCGACGGGTGCGGCGGCGGCGAAGAGGGACGGCGGCGGCAGCGGGAGGGCTGCTGCGGCGGAAGGGAAACGGCGGCGGCAGCGGGAGGGCTGCTGCGGCGGAATGGAAACGGCGGCGGCAGCGGGAGGGCTGCTGCGGCGGAAGGGAAACGGCGGCGGCAGCGGGAGGGCTGCTGCGGCGGAAGGGAAACGGCGGCGGCAGCGGGAGGGCTGCTGCGGCGGAAGGGAAACGGCGGCGGCAGCGGGAGGGCTGCTGCGGCGGAAGGGAAACGGCGGCGGCAGCGGGAGGGCTGCTGCGGCGGAAGGGAAACGGCGGCGGCAGCGGGAGGGCTGCTGCGGCGGAAGGGAAACGGCGGCGGCAGCGGGAGGGCTGCTGCGGCGGAAGGGAAACGGCGGCGGCAGCGGGAGGGCTGCTGCGGCGGAAGGGAAACGGCGGCGGCAGCGGGAGGGCCGCTGCGGCGGAAGGGAAACGGCGGCGGCAGCGGGAGGGCTGCTGCGGCGGAAGGGAAACGGCGGCGGCAGCGGGAGGGCTGCTGCGGCGGAAGGGAAACGGCGGCGGCAGCGGGAGGGCTGCTGCGGCGGAAGGGAAACGGCGGCGGCAGCGGGAGGGCTGCTGCGGCGGAAGGGAAACGGCGGCGGCAGCGGGAGGGCTGCTGCGGCGGAAGGGAAACGGCGGCGGCAGCGGGAGGGCTGCTGCGGCGGAAGGGAAACGGCGGCGGCAGCGGGAGGGCTGCTGCGGCGGAAGGGAAACGGCGGCGGCAGCGGGAGGGCTGCTGCGGCGGAAGGGAAACGGCGGCGGCAGCGGGAGGGCTGCTGCGGCGGAAGGGAAACGGCGGCGGCAGCGGGAGGGCTGCTGCGGCGGAAGGGAAACGGCGGCGGCAGCGGGAGGGCTGCTGCGGCGGAAGGGAAACGGCGGTGGCAGCGGGAGGGCTGCTGCGGCGGAAAGGAAGCGAGGGGGAAGGGGGAGGTGGGCTGGATGGCCCGAAGGAGGAGGAAGCGAGGGGGAAGGGGGAGGTGGGCTGGATGGCCCTTAGGGGGAGGAAGCGAGGGGGAAGGGGGAGGTGGGCTGGATGGCCCGAAGGAGGAGGAAGCGAGGGGGAAGGGGGAGGTGGGCTGGATGGCCCGAAGGAGGAGGAAGCGAGGGGGAAGGGGGAGGTGGGCTGGATGGCCCGAAGGAGGAGGAAGCGAGGGGGAAGGGGGAGGTGGGCTGGATGGCCCGAAGGAGGAGGAAGCGAGGGGGAAGGGGGGAGGTGAGCTGGATGGCCCGAAGGAGGAGGAAGCGAGGGGGAAGGGGGAGGTGGGCTGGATGGCCCGAAGGAGGAGGAAGCGAGGGGGAAGGGGGAGGTGGGCTGGATGGCCCGAAGGAGGAGGAAGCGAGGGGGGAATGGGGAGGTGGGCGGAATGGCCCTTAGGGGGAGGAAGCAAGGGGGAAGAGGGAGAAGGGCGGAATGGCCCTTAAGGGGAGGAAGCGAGGGGGAAGAGGGAGGTGGGCTGGATGGCCCGAAGGAGGAGGAAGCGAGGGGGAAGGGGGGAAGTGGGCTGGATGGCCCTTGGAAGGGGGGGCGGAAGCGTGGTGACGATGCGAATGAATGCTGTCGGGAGCGGGATTGACGGGCGAAATGCCGTCGGGAGCGGGATTGACGGGCGAAATGCCGTCGGGAGCGGGATTGACGGGCGAAATGCCGTCGGGAGCGGGATTGACGGGCGAAATGCCGTCGGGAGCGGGATTGACGGGCGAAATGCCGTCGGGAGCGGGATTGACGGGCGAAATGCCGTCGGGAGCGGGATTGACGGGCGAAATGCCGTCGGGAGCGGGATTGACGGGCGAAATGCCGTCGGGAGCGGGATTGACGGGCGAAATGCCGTCGGGAGCGGGATTGACGGGCGAAATGCCGTCGGGAGCGGGATTGACGGGCGAAATGCCGTCGGGAGCGGGATTGACGGGCGAAATGCCGTCGGGAGCGGGATTGACGGGCGAAATGCCGTCGGGAGCGGGATTGACGGGCGAAATGCCGTCGGGAGCGGGATTGACGGGCGAAATGCCGTCGGGAGCGGGATTGACGGGCGAAATGCCGTCGGGAGCGGGATTGACGGGCGAAATGCCGTCGGGAGCGGGATTGACGGGCGAAATGCCGTCGGGAGCGGGATTGACGGGCGAAATGCCGTCGGGAGCGGGATTGACGGGCAAAACGCCTTCGGAAGCGGAATCGACGGGCGAAGTGGTAGGCGCGTTCGTCGCGCGGGTCGGCGCGTACAAGCGCCTCAAATGCCACGGGGAAAAGCCTGAGGGAGGAGAGCAGGCTGGTGGGGCAAAGACCATGAAGCCGGCAAGAGGCCGAGGATCTCCTAGGGAGGACGAAGGTGGCGTTAGCCAAAATAGCTCTATACCATGTGAGAATCCCATAGTTGGGATGAAGGGGTGAACTCAAGAGTTGGTATATTGATAAAGAAGAGCAGTACAAATAGGGAATGGGAAGAATGATCAAAATCAGAGCTACCCCACACCATTATTGGCAGACCAATGTGGTGAGGATCCAGCCCAATAATTGAGGTTGAGTCAATTATTGGAGGGGCCAAACATTGAGGAGGGTTGGCCACCAATGTTGGCTCCCCAACAATAATGGCCGCTTGGGTTGTGGGAACCCAACCAAAAGTTGGGACACCACCTCAATGTGTACACCCATGATTTGGGTGTACACTATTAGTTCTAGCCATATACATGCTATATTCTAACAGGGGGAAGGAGCAGGGATGTGGCAGTGGGGACAGAGGAAGAGAAGGGGTTAGCGGCAACACAGATGTGCTTGTTCTTGTCGTACCAATGCCTCTCCACCACCTTGCCTGCGTGCGACTGGAGGGAAGGGGGAAGGAGGGCGGGGAGAGGTAGAGGAACGGGGTGGAAGGGCAGTGAAGGATGAGTGGCGATACACGCGACATGCGGTTGCTGGTGTGCCAGCAATGCTCCTCCACGACCTTGCTGATAGTCTACAGTTGATAAAAAGCTGGAATCGAACTGCTGCAGGCCTTCTAAGAGTGTATCTACAATTTTCCCTGCTTTCAGGTTAGTAATATCAGCACTACAGGTCTTGGACACACTATTAGAAGGCTTGCCGCAATTTGAATCCAGCCTTTCCTCAACCGGGAAGAAAGGCGGGAAGGGGAAGAGGGGAGGATAAGGCATGAGGGAGATAGCCAGGACCCGGAAACCTAGGAGCGCACAACAAGATGGATGCGAGAGAGTGGTGCTTGCAACATGCTCCCGTGCCTCGTGATCATCGCAGCATTCATCGGTGGTGCAGCATGACACGCCACGGTGTGCCATGACCATCCACAGAGATCAATCACAGATCGCTCTCACTCCACAATGCTCTCTCCTCGACACCCATCCACCCTCACCCCCTACTGTCGACCCACCACCCACCTCAACCACTCTCCCTTCCCCACGCCAGAACGCACCTCGTCCTTCTCAATGGTGGCATCCCTGGTGCGAATGTCATCATGCACGTCGAAGTGGAACAGCAGTTTCCCTCACCCCCTTACTCTCCGGCCCCACGCACCTCCTACTCCCCCACCCACTTACCTCGTCCTTCTCAATGGTGGCATCCCCCGTGGTGCGAATGTCATCATGCACGTCGAAGTGGAACAGCAGTTTCCCTCACCCCCTTACTCTCCGGCCCCACGCACCTCCTACTCCCCCACCCACTTACCTCGTCCTTCTCAATGGTGGCATCCCCCGTGGTGCGAATGTCATCATGCACGTCGAAGTGGAACAGCAGTTTCCCTCACCCCCTTACTCTCCGGCCCCACGCACCTCCTACTCCCCCACCCACTTACCTCGTCCTTCTCAATGGTGGCATCCCCCGTGGTGCGAATGTCATCATGCACGTCGAAGTGGAACAGCAGTTTCCCTCACCCCCTTACTCTCCGGCCCCACGCACCTCCTACTCCCCCACCCACTTACCTCGTCCTTCTCAATGGTGGCATCCCCCGTGGTGCGAATGTCATCATGCACGTCGAAGTGGAACAGCAGTTTCCCTCACCCCCTTACTCTCCGGCCCCACGCACCTCCTACTCCCCCACCCACTTACCTCGTCCTTCTCAATGGTGGCATCCCCCGTGGTGCGAATGTCATCATGCACGTCGAAGTGGAACAGCAGTTTCCCTCACCCCCTTACTCTCCGGCCCCACGCACCTCCTACTCCCCCACCCACTTACCTCGTCCTTCTCAATGGTGGCATCCCCCGTGGTGCGAATGTCATCATGCACGTCGAAGTGGAACAGCAGTTTCCCTCACCCCCTTACTCTCCGGCCCCACGCACCTCCTACTCCCCCACCCACTTACCTCGTCCTTCTCAATGGTGGCATCCCCCGTGGTGCGAATGTCATCATGCACGTCGAAGTGGAACAGCAGTTTCCCTCACCCCCTTACTCTCCGGCCCCACGCACCTCCTACTCCCCCACCCACTTACCTCGTCCTTCTCAATGGTGGCATCCCCCGTGGTGCGAATGTCATCATGCACGTCGAAGTGGAACAGCAGTTTCCCTCACCCCCTTACTCTCCGGCCCCACGCACCTCCTACTCCCCCACCCACTTACCTCGTCCTTCTCAATGGTGGCATCCCCCGTGGTGCGAATGTCATCATGCACGTCGAAGTGGAACAGCAGTTTCCCTCACCCCCTTACTCTCCGGCCCCACGCACCTCCTACTCCCCCACCCACTTACCTCGTCCTTCTCAATGGTGGCATCCCCCGTGGTGCGAATGTCATCATGCACGTCGAAGTGGAACAGCAGTTTCCCTCACCCCCTTACTCTCCGGCCCCACGCACCTCCTACTCCCCCACCCACTTACCTCGTCCTTCTCAATGGTGGCATCCCCCGTGGTGCGAATGTCATCATGCACGTCGAAGTGGAACAGCAGTTTCCCTCACCCCCTTACTCTCCGGCCCCACGCACCTCCTACTCCCCCACCCACTTACCTCGTCCTTCTCAATGGTGGCATCCCCCGTGGTGCGAATGTCATCATGCACGTCGAAGTGGAACAGCAGTTTCCCTCACCCCCTTACTCTCCGGCCCCACGCACCTCCTACTCCCCCACCCACTTACCTCGTCCTTCTCAATGGTGGCATCCCCCGTGGTGCGAATGTCATCATGCACGTCGAAGTGGAACAGCTGCCACGCCACATGGGGTTGCACGAGATGGGGCATGGGGCACCGCATTGGCAAGGGGTGGTTGGGTGAGCACGAGAAAGAGACAGGCAGGCAGAGGAATCGGGGAGGAAAGAATAGCTTGGGGCGTTTTGGGAAACAGCAGGCCCACAGAGACAGCAATGAGTGGCAGAATTGAGCTGCGTGAGACACCGCAGAGGGTGTAAAGCCATCCCTGCATGCATCCCTGCATGCATGCGTCCCCCTCCCAGCCATGTGCGTGTGCCCTTACCGGACCACTCTTCCCGCGGGCCTTGTTCACTATGAGCTCATAGAACGTGTATTGCTGGGGGGAGGCACAGCGGGGGCACGAGGGGAAGGAGAGGGCGGGCACAGAGGGGTTTTTGAGTCAACTCAAATGAGGGGCCCTTGTTCACTATGAGCTCGTAGAACGTGTATTGCTGCCGGCGAAGGCCCAGCGGGGTCACGTGAGAGAGGAGAGGGCGGGAAGAGGAGGGCTTTGATCATTATGAGGTCTTAAAACATGTCTTGCTGCGGGGGGGCATGGGCGTGGGGAGGGAGGGGGTGCATGGGTGTGAGTGCGCGGGTGATAAGACGAGGCGGAGCAGTGGGAGTGGGAGGAGGAGCAGTGGGAGTGGGAGGAGGAGCAGTGGGAGTGGGAGGAGGAGCAGTGGGAGTGGGAGGAGGAGCAGTGGGAGTGGGAGGAGGAGCAGTGGGAGTGGGAGGAGGAGCAGTGGGAGTGGGAGGAGGAGCAGTGGGAGTGGGAGGAGGAGCAGTGGGAGTGGGAGGAGGAGCAGTGGGAGTGGGAGGAGGAGCAGTGGGAGTGGGAGGAGGAGCGGAGCATTGCTGGCTGCACGCTCGTGTGACGTGCGTTGCTGGGGGGATGTGAACGACGGAGCAGAGAGGAGGAGCGTTGGAATGGAGAGAGAGCGAAGGCGAGGTGTCATGAGTAAGTGGAGCCACAGGGGGTGTTGTTGAGACCCACAGGGCACAAGAGCAGAACAAATAAGACTTTGCTGGTCAAGTCTCCCTTAATGATTTTGAGAAATGTCACACAAACGCACTCACATGCGTGATGCTGACGTCACTCACATGAGGAATGATGACGTCACTGGGATGACGGATGATGACGTCACTCGCATGAGAAAATGATGACGTCACTCACATGTGGCATGAAGATCCTTCTTGACGTACACAAGCCCCTCCACCAACACACGCCATGCACTAATCATCCTGAGTTGAACTCACATGCAGCCTGCACTCACATGTGCCTTGCATGCCAATCTCGCGCTGCACTCAAATGCAGGATGATAAAGTCCTCCTTGACTCACATGCGGGATGATGACGTCACTCACATGCGGGATGATGACGTCACTCACATGCGGGATGATGACGTCACTCACATGCGGGATGATGACGTCACTCACATGCGGGATGATGACGTCACTCACATGCGGGATGATGACGTCACTCACATGCGGGATGATGACGTCACTCACATGCGAGATGATGACGTCACTCACATGCGGGATGATGACGTCACTCACATGCGGGATGATGACGCCACTCACATGCGGGATGATGACGCCACTCACATGCGGGATGATGACGTCACTCACATGCGGGATGATGACGTCACTCACATGCGGGATGATGACGTCACTCACATGCGGGATGATGACGTCACTCACATGCGGGATGATGACGTCACTCACATGCGGGATGATGACGTCACTCACATGCGGGATGATGACGTCACTCACATGCGGGATGATGACGTCACTCACATGCGGGATGATGACGTCACTCACATGCGGGATGATGACGTCACTCACATGCGGGATGATGACGTCACTCACATGCGGGATGATGACGTCACTCACATGCGGGATGATGACGTCACTCACATGCGGGATGATGACGTCACTCACATGCGGGATGATGACGCCACTCACATGCGGGATGATCAAATCCTCCTTGATGTAAACCAGCCCCTCCACGGACGCCGACCGCACCTCCCTGAAGTCGGGAGCCAGCTGCTGCTGCACTGCTCGCAGGAAGTCCGCAATGCTGTCGCCCTTGCGCACCTGGGGGGGGGGGGGAGAGAGACAGGAAGGGGGAACGGGGGCCATGGGGAGAGAGCCGACGACTTTTGAGACGAGTCAAAAAAAGAGCTGCTTCTGCCCCGCTCGCATGAAGCCCACTATGCTGTCGCCCTTGTGAACCTCATTGAGGGGGAAGAGGTGGGGCGGAATGGACGCGAGAGGAAAGCAGGAGGGGACGGCGTGACGGAGCATGTGTGAAAGCATCTAGAAATCTTAGAACATTCTACACACAAGACGCAACACATAAAAACGACATATGATAACTGCACATGGTATTAACATAGCATACAAGCGCTCCTCCCCCCCCCCCCCACTTCCCTGCCTCACCTTGATCACTCGTCCCTGCCTCACCTTGATCACTCGTCCCTGCCTCACCTTGATCACTCGTCCCTGCCTCACCTTGATCACTCGTCCCTGCCTCACCTTGATCACTCGTCCCTGCCTCACCTTGATCACTCGTCCCTGCCTCACCTTGATCACTCGTCCCTGCCTCACCTTGATCACTCGCCTGTGCCCTGCCCCGTCCCAGAAACTGTATGTGATCTCCAGCGGCTCGTCTGATTGGCCGACGGGGTGGAAGGTGATACAAAAGGAAGTTTGGTTGGGCACGGGGATGTGATGAGGGAGATGCGGGGGGACACTGATATGCAGCCTTGCATTGTGATAAGGCTGCCTGCATACATTCGATATCAGTGTCCCCCCGCATACATTTGATGAGGCGGGACATTGTGATAAGGCTGCGTGCATACATTTGCGACGTCTCAAAAGCTCTAGGCTACTAAAAGGTCCTCATCCCTGAATGTAGATACTCCACCCTATCGCAAACCTTGCCTAAACTTTGTGACATCTCTAAAGCAAATACCCTTTATCTCTGCAAAAAATGCACTCATCCCCTGTTGACGCTCACCCATATCCCCCATATAGACTCACTCTTTATCCGCTCCTGCTCCGCCATCCACTGCTTCGCCAGTCGCTCCCTCTCTGCTGCCTCCTGCGCCTCCCGGTCCCTGTGAGGAGCAAGGGGGGTCGGGTGCCAGCAAGGGGGTGGGAGAGGAGGAGAGAGAAAGAACAAGGGATTGTTGCAGGAGTGGTGGGGGAGGACACAAGGGAAAAAGGGGGCTGACTGGGGCAAAGGCGGGTAGGTGGGGCAGTGGGGAGAGCAAGAAGAAGGAGATTTGTGCAGTTGGCAAAAGGGCCAAACATAACAGACCCTTCGGCTGGACTACCGAGTGTCTGCTTGAAACAGTGGCAGCAGGGACATGTTAACTGCACCGAGGTAAGAAGCAATTGCCAAAGAAATTGGCCCCCTGTAAGGCATCTCACAATCACCTTTCTGGCGATCACCTGTTCAGTAACCACCAGTCGCAAGCTACCCATGTTCGTGGTACGCACATCTAAACTCCCCTGCCCTCCCCCCTGCCCTCCCCCCTGCCCTCTCCCCTGCTCCTCCCCCTGCCCCCCTCCCCGCCCCCCTCCCTGCCCCCCTCCCCCTGCCCCCCTCCCTGCCCCCCTCTCCTCCACCTGTGTGGTAACCACCTATCTCTCTAAGAGGCAATAGGGCTCTCCCCTGTGTGCGCACCTGTCGGGCAGGAAGCCAGTCTCCACCGTGGGGTCCTTGCCAAACTTGCCACCACCTGTGTGGTAACCACCCTCCTGGCAGGCACGCAACTGCGCCCTCTCCTCTCCTCTGAGCTTACCTGTCGGGCAGGAAGCTGGTCTCCACGGTGGGGTCTTTGCCAACCAGCGACCACCTGTGGTAACCATCTCTCTAAGAGGCAATAGGGCTCTCCCCTGCGCCCTCACCGCACCTGTCAGGCAGGAAGCTGGTCTCCACGGTGGGGTCTTTGCCAAACTTGCTCATCCTCGCCTTCTTCCGCCCCTCCCCCGCTGCCCCCTCCCCGCCCCTGTTTGCCCCGTTCTCTGCTGTCGCCCACGCATGGGGAGAAGGGTGAGAGGGGAGAAAGGAAAGAGAGGGGAAATCGGGAGAGGGGCGAGAGGGGTGAGAGGGGAAAGTGGGGGACGAAGAAAAGGAATCGGGAGAGGGGAAAGCGGGAGGAGAGGGGAGAGAATAGACCGTACAATAGCAGGGCATTGTATGGGGAGGGAGGAGCAATACCACTCAACAGGCGCTCTGACACTGTTATGCTATCCCACACTCCCTCACTCTCATCTCCTCTCACAACGCTCTCTTACCTCTTGCATCTTGCTCCCTCCTATTCTCCTTCTCCCCATCCCCCTCCCCCTCCTCCCCCCCCTCCCCGTCCTACAGGTCATCCAGGAACGACAGCTTGGCCGTGAGAAACCCTCTCTTACCTCTTGCCTCTTGTTCCCCACCCTCCCCATCCCCCTCCGCGTCCTCCCCCTCGTCCTCGTCCTGCAGGTCGTCCAGGAACGACAGCTTGGCCGTGGGCGCTGCTGCTCGCCGCCGCCGCCGCTTCTCCATCTGCTTCTCCTCCTCGCTGCACGCCATGCCATGCCGCGCATGGGTGGATTGGACCGGTGGGGTGCGGTGGGGTGCGGTGATGATGATTGCATAATTCTTGAGAGAGGAAGTAAGGCCATGTATGCATTGCATAATTGTTGAGGGAGGAACTAAGGCCAAGAGAGAACAGTTTCGGAGAACTCTTGAGAACCTCACGGGGCATGCGTGCATGGCAAGAGGGCAAGGTTGACATGCGACCTTAGAGGACACCAACAGGCGCACATGGGGTGTGTTTTGCTCGCATGCAGGGCATCCGTCCCACAACACACCTACACCTCCTCCACTCCTTCATCCCCCATCACTTACTCACTGCCCCATCACTTACTCACTGCCCCATCACTTACTCACTGCCCCATCACTTACTCACTGCCCCATCACTTACTCACTGCCCCATCACTTACTCACTGCCCCATCGGCCCACTTCCCCCCCCCCCAAGCACCACTCACTCGTCTGCCTGTCGCTGCTTCGCCTCTCGCTCCTCCTCCTCCATCTTGCTCCTCAGTGTTGCCCTCTGCTCCATGCCATGCCGTGTCATACCATGCCATGCCGTGTCATACCATGCCATGCCGTGTCATACCATGCCATCATGCCACGCCACGCCATGCCCCGCCACACCACGCCATGCCACGCCACGCCATGCCATATGAGGAACACGGGTCAAACGATTCAAATGGTTTCGCACAGCACACAAACACCCCCTACCCACGCCACGCCATCCACTCCTCCCTTCCTAGTTCCCCCCGTGGGCCCCCTGCCAACCTAGCTCCCCCCAACCCCCTTTACGTAGTTTCCCCCATGCTCCCCCCATGCCCTCCCCATGCCCTCCCCATGCCCTCCCCATGCCCTCCCCATGCCCTCCCCCATGCCCTCCCCATGCGCCCCCCATGCGCCCCCCATGCCCTCCCCATGCCCTCCCCCATGCCCTCCCCATGCGCCCCCCATGCGCCCCCCATGCCCTCCCCATGCCCTCCCCATGCCCTCCCCCGCTCTCCGCGCGCACCTTTTCAACGAACTGTTCGCGCGTGACCAGCCCCACCGTCTGCTTCTTGAACGCCGTCTCCAGCGTCTGGGTGCGGGGGGACGTAGGGACCGGGGAGGGGAAGCGAGGGAGAGAGAGAGGGAGGCGAGATGGTGAGGCGACTGCTGTGCGCACGTGTCAGCGACTCAGCGACGGCACTCACTGCTGTCACCGCGGGCACTAGAAAAGGGCAGGAAAGGGAGGGCGCGGTGATGTGTAGGTGGGCAGCGGGCACTAGCCCACCACCCGCGCGCTGATATCGACTGAAGTTCTTCCTGCGGGCAACGGGACATCCCTACTCGTGCAGCGAGGGTGTTTTTGAGACGTCTCAAAAGCACTAGCCCACCACCCGCGCGCTGATATCGACTGAAGTTCTTCCTGCGGGCAACGGGACATCCCTACTCGCTTCCGGTCCGCGCTTTCCCTACGCGCGCAGCACGGGCTCCGCAGCACGGGCTCCGCAGCACGGGCTCCGCCGTCCCCTCGTCGACTCCCCCGACTTCCTACCGCAAACCACTAATTGCCTCGACGCCGCTCAAACTACTTGGTCGCAGCGCAGCTAGGCGCGCCCTGTAGCGGAAGAGGCGCGCGCGAGGCGCAGCTTGGGGCGCACAATAGCGGCAGAGGCGCGCGCGGCGGGCGCACCTCGGAGGTGGCGGTGCCGAACTGCAGCAGCCCCTGCAGGCCCTGCGACGACTTCTTGCGCAGCTCCTCCATCTTCGCCTGCTCCTCCTCGCGCTGCTTCTCCAGCCGCCGAATCCGCACCGCGTCCGCCGCCGTGCCCACGTATCCATCGCCCATGCCCGCCATGGCTGCTCGACGCACTCACTGCTCGACGTACTAGATGCTCCACGAAATGCACGACGTGGTGGCTTGTCATTTTGTACTTTTTATAGAGCCATGGAATTTTTTGTGCTATTCAGCAGCATCCGTTGTAGTCTAGTCGGTTAGGATATTCGGCTCTCACCCGAAAGACCCGGGTTCAAGTCCCGGCAACGGAAATTTTCTTGCTATTGTACGGGTTGTTCCGGCATGATACCTTGAAATTTTCGCCAGTACAATACGTGTGGTTACTTTGAAGCAAAAAAATGTTGATTCCAATTTCCAAACCGCAGAAACTCGACCTTGACTATTGTTATGAGTTGTACTAAGAGAGTGCGCGGAAGACTTTATAAAAGAGATGAGAATTACAGAATGACGAGAATGATAAAGAGACGAGCATTTATAGGGTCGAAACCGTGCTAGGCGAGGACCTCGATGTGCGTGGCTCGGGAATGTCGCAATTGGTGCGGGGCGACTCGGGGCTGGTTCGGTGCGAAAGTGTAGGCCGAGCCACACTGACGCGAACTGCTCGGGGCTGTCCTCGCTAAGGACAGTTCTACAGTAATGAATTGCACATTCATTACACTCTCCCACCTTCTAAAGAAGGCGCCTTATACGTAAACGAGTCTGGCAGTAGCGTGAAAACTGCAGATCTCGGTCGAAAACCAATCTGACGGTGCGGAAGCATGTTGACTTTCGAGTTGACACGTTGACGCGTGGCTGAGCGCGTTGACCAGGCGGATATCAGAGTTGGAATGTCAGCCGTTAAATTACTGCCGATGTCGATCGGGCGGTTGAAAGCGAATATCGATTTAAATTCTTCCGACGAAAGAAAGCCGTTGATGTAGCGGATATGTTTCGGACGGCAGAGATGAACGCGATGTCTGACGGCGGCTCTGACGCATGTCAGAAAACGAGGAGTCCGAAGCCGTCGATGTCGTTGAAGCTTATCTCGAGCGTCCGTCGTGCAGAAGCTGTCAGGCGAAGTGTCAGAAAGACTGACAAGTACAGTGCGAGAGCACTCCTTCTCCCCCCCTTGAAGATAAATGACTGCCCACCAGAACCTGCACAGCTGCTCGGGTAAAAACCCCAAACACCCTGACGCCGAGGGTAGATCACAATATCAAGTGTTATGATCCCTGTCGAAATGTTAGCAGCTGCACTGTCGAGAATGTCGCTGGTGGCGAAATATTGCTATCTTAACCTGTTAAAACTCCCCAGGGTAAACCGCGGAGTCCGTTTAGAGGGTAGATCATTGTGCTCCCGGACTCGGTTGCGATTCCTGAATTAAAACTGTACGAAAACTTTCTTCTTGTCTCGTAGTCGCGACTGTTGCTGCAGAATCGACCGTGACTGCCACCCTGAAATCCCTCGTGTGGCAGTATCGAATCACCCTGCTGCTGCTGAATCTCGGTTGCCAGAATCTGCAACTCCGTAATTGCTGATGTCTTGTCGCGTTGATGTGGCCAAATCCTCGCTGTAGCTGCTCCAGTTGTCGGTGCCCCCGGCAGTCTTGTCCAGACTCGCCGAGGCACTTGTCGCGTTGCGCCGAAAACTCCCGGGCAGGGGCGAAAACAGCTGCTGCTTTTCCCCCTGATCTCGCAAATATTTGTTCAAGTCGAACTCAAACTGCCGATGACGTCAGCTGCAATGTCGGTGGTGTCGCGTTGCGCCGAAAACTCCGGGCAGGGGCGAAAACAGCTGTCGCCTTCTCCCCCCCACCTGTTGGAAAATTCTCCCTCATGTTGCGGCTTGTACCCCCGAACAGCCTCCGAATGTACGGCTACAAATTTGACGACGAGTGCCTTCGCGCGCTTAATCAAGCGACGATGCAGTCGGCCGTCGGCACGGATACTGTCAGCGATCCCGCTGACTCCGTTAAAACTCTTCCCGGAGCTGCTCGTTGCACCCGAAGATGTCGGAAATTAACACACCCCGTAAATTCTTGGTCGTCTGCAGGTTGTCCCCTTGAAGTACACCGTAAAACGCAGAAAACCGCTGCCGAGCAGACGTTCACCCGTCTCCCACCGTAGGAAAGAAACCCCGAAAATCATGGTTGTTGAAGCAGTCCCGAAGTATTTTCCGCCGCGTAACCCCGACGTTTCCGCCGTTGACCTGGTACTCCGACGTTCACCCGTCTTCGCACCCGTCGAAATTACTTAGCGAATCCCAGGTATCCTTGGCGATACACCGCTCGCCGCGCCTCCATGTAATTATATCAAACCCTTTCGGGGGTCTACCGAATAGACTCCGAAATTCGCGGTAGATTGGTGTACGAGCTCCACCTTTCACTCTGGAGATCTGCTGGAGCACCCACAAATTTCCCTCCATTTGTTTTTGTCTTCACCCCCCGACAATTTCGCTTGCCGCCGTTCACCCAGCGTCCGCTTTTGTCGGATGAGGTATAACTCCGTGTTGCCCGCGATTTTTCTGACATCGGTGAAGGCGCGAATGCTATCGTAACCAGATCGGGTTTATCGGATCAAACCGTCGGGCCGGCCGCTTCGTTTGCCCACCGCGTCTTATCGCTTTGTCGCCCCCGTCTTCGCCGCTACACCGTCGCTGGGTAGACCGGTAAATTAGGAGAAATTCCCGAGAGCTGCCACAATTTCTTCAGTCCCGACATTTTCGGCAGGGTAACTGTCGCCGATGGTCCGTTTTTGTCGGGGCCGAAACAGTGTCGCATCCTTCAATTTTTTTCTTGAACGCCCTGCCGTCGAACCAGCGTCACCCGCGCCTTTCTAACCAGCACAGGGCTAAACACAGGGCCCCACCTTTGGATCCAGTGGCTCTTTGGTCTTACCATTGCCTTTGAGACCGTCTGGGCGTGGGGTATGCGAAACGTCGGTGGACTTTGGCCGGTAGGGAGCTCCTTCTGCTACCGCCGCTTAGCCGCGAAACTCGGCATCAGCAAAAAGTCGTCGCAGTAGGTCGTTTTCTCCCCTCCTGAAGCTCGGAATCCGTTTCTCTCGCCAGACCCGTATTTGTCGCAACTCCGTATATTGTAGCCGGTAGACTAGGCGAAATTCGCGTGTCTAGACGCTGCGATAAACCGTTGTCCTCGTGTGTGTACTGCCCCGTCTGCGACACAACTTCCCTTGATCAGGGGGAAACTGTGCCGCCTGAAGTACAGTGTCGGCTGCTGCTGTTGCTCCGAAATTTTCGGCCGACGTTGTTGCAGGCGCAGAATTGACCCTAACGCGAACAGTCTAGTCGTAGGCGGCCTTTTCCGCACTTTTCGGTGGTTTGAAAATAACTTCCGTCCCACACTGTGCCGCTCCTGCCGAAAACGCCAACGACGCACCCTCCTGTAGCCACACCGGCCACACCCGGGCTGGACGACGGTAGAACCCCGTTTTCTTCGGGCAATCCTCACGCCGTCACTCCGCGCCGTTGCATTTTCTGACGCAAATCACCATGCGCCTGGCTGCTCGCACAGCAGTCGTTTTCCACGTGCTGCTACCCGAAATCTTCGCGCACAGTGACCACGATCGTCACTTGCCGAAGACCTCCAACGGACTGGTACGCAACGTGACGAAGACGCTCGACGCTTGCCGAATCCGCTCCGAAATTGTCGCGCGCAGTTGTCGACCACACGCCGTCGCAACTCGCACGACGATCTTGCTTCCGACATCTTCGGACGTGCAGTGACGGAGATCCTGTCGACGTCAGCTGCCACTCAAATTAACTCCGAAAATGCCGAAACGAGTACTGTTAACTCACGCATTAATTGCGACGACAGCAAAAGCTGTCCGCCACCCGGGGGGAGGGAGGCCACGGTCGATCTTGACCGTCGAGGGCAAGGATCCGTCGGTGCCGCAGGAGCGCCAGGGAAATCCATGGCCGCTAGGAGTAAATACCCGTTCTCCTGGCCGGCTACTGCGCTGCTCCTGTCACCACGGCATCCTTCCCTGTCCCCCCCCCCGAGGGGTAATACACTCTAAAAAACGGGGAACCTATGTTAGAATCTAGCAGCAGGAATGGATGAACTAACAGGATGCAGGAGTACAAGTAGTAAACCCTAACTAGGTTGTACCCCATATGGGCTACCCCACTACAGCCTAGACAATATGCAGCACATATAGTTTGACACACCCCCATAGGCAAAGTGGGGGAGAACAAGGGGTCACACGACCAGTCAAGAGAAGCAAAACAAGCTCAGGGTGGATCACAACGTCACCACGCATTCTGAGCACAAGCAAAGGGCCACTGGGCCAGTTCACATGCAGAGATATATATGCAGCAATAACAGTACAGTGATGGCTACCTAGCAAGAGCCAGCATGCATATATATATATATATATGTACAGATCACAGTACAAGCAGAGACTACAGCAAGTGTGGAAACGTAGGCACAAGGCCTAACAGAGTACAAAAGCGCTGATGATCACCAGACGGAAGTGCCTTGGTGAATATGTCAGCAGTGTTGGCCCGAGTGGCCACGTGGCGAAGACGAAGCTGGCCTCGCTGCTGCAACTCTCGAGCCAGGAAGTACCGCAGAGCAATGTGCTTCGTTCTGTGCTCCATTCTGTGCTCCTCACACAAGGCAATGGCGGCCTTGTTGTCAACGTACAGCACTGGAGGAGAACGAGGCTGCTCTCCCAAGTCAGTCAGCAGGTAGGTGAGCCAGCGTAACTCCTGTGCAGCCATGGCGGTGGCGTAGATCTCAGCCTCACAACTGGAGCCGAGAACTGAAGTCGAGCGTGTAGAACGCCACGAAACTGAACCAGAGCCAAGGCTGAAGGTGTAACCCTGTGACAACCGCTGCGTAGCCAGGTCGTCAACCCAAGAAGCGTCTGAGTGCCCAGTGAGGACAACTGGGCTCGTCCCTCCAAGCACTAGCCCCATGCCTGATGTGCTGCACAAGTAACGCAGTACCCTCTTAGCAGCAGCCATGTGCTCAGGTCGGTGCCGACCAGGAGCCACGTAGCGAGCCAGGAGACCAAGAGGGTACGCGAGGTCAGGTCGAGTGCAAGTCATCAGGTACA